ACAGACCTCCTGAGAATTAGCTGTTAATAGATTGGATGGTTTGTCTAAAAGATTTAGAAGGGATCCTGATCTTTTTATGAAGTACCAGACCACTATTACAGATTATATTTTGAAAGGACATGCAGAGATGGTGCCTTTAACACAGATTAACTTAGTTGATAGACCAATTTGGTACTTACCGCATCATCCTGTTAAACCTGAAAAGGTGCGAGTTGTTTTTGACTGTGCCGCTAAGTATTGTGGGAAAAGTTTGAATAATGAGTTATTGCAAGGTCCACATTTCGCCAATTGAATTGTTGGCAGTTTTATTCAGGTTTAGGCAAGGTGATATTGGATTTGTAGCTGACATTGAGGCTCATTTCCACCAAGTGTTGGTTGATCCTCCAGATTGTGATGTATTAAGGTTTCTTTGGTGGAAGAACAATGATATAAATGGTGAAGTTCAAGAATATTGGATGAGGAAACACATCTTTGGAGCAACATCCTCTCCAGCAATAGCTTATTATTGTGTTAAAAAGTGTGCAGATCTCTATGAAGAAGATTTCGACAGAGAAACTGTTAAAACTGTAAAGCAAAACATGTATGTTGACGATTTAATGAAGTCAGTAGACAATTTAGACTTAGCCTTGAAATTATATGGTGAAGTTTCTGGATTATTAAGTAATTGTGGCTTCAAGTTAAGGAAATGGTGTAGTAATAGCAGAGAGTTTCTCCTGCAGATTTCAGATAGTGATAGAGTGAAATCTATTGTGCACTTAAATTTAGATGAATTGCCAATTCAGAGTGCTTTAGGCTTAAAATGGAATACAGAACTTGATGTATTTTCTTGGGAGTTGCAAGAGAAATTATTGTTTTCTAATAAACCAGCAACAAGACGTGGTATTTTGTCTGTTGTATATTCATTGTTTGATCCTGTAGGGTTTATCGCTCCATATGTGATGAAGGCTAAGTTGATTTTGCAAACTTTAAGTAGATTGAAATTAGGCTGGGATGAATATATTGGTGATGAATACAAGTTGCAATGGAATAGATGGTTGGAGGATTTGTTTCATTTGCCAGAAGTTAAAGTTGATAGGTGTAAATGCAGACTAGCTCCTATTAAAGAAATATCCATTCCATGACTCGAATTTTCAGCTGCAGTGGTGTCAGTAAAAATGAGAAAAATGGTTGAAGACGAGCTGGATATTCAGATATCTAAAACTACTTTCTGGACAGATTCCATGTCGGTTTTAAAGTGTATCAACAATGAGTCTAGAAGATTTCATACTTTCGAATCCAACCGGTTAACCATAATACATGCTGGATCAGCTGCTCATGAATGGCGATATATTGATAGTAACCACAATCTTGCAGATGACGGATCAAAGGGTCTTAAATTCAAAGTTTTGACGAAGAAACCAAGATGGATCAGAGGTCCTGATTTCCTGTATCAAAAGGAAGAATTATGGCCAGAGAGAATTGAAATTCCTGGGCTTAAAGTTGGTGATCCTGAGGTCAGAAAGGAAGTCCAGATTTATGCAACTACCTCAGAGCCTAAAGAAGATGTTTTTGATAAATTGCTCTGCAGATATTCATCTTGGGTGAAACTTAAAAGATCTTTTGTATGGTTGTTGAGGTTTAAGAAATATTTGAGTAAAAAGGTGTCTAAGGAACCTGTTTATTTTGAATTGAATTTAAGTGTTGATGAAATTAAAGAAGCTGAATTTGAAATAGTTCGTTTAGTTCAGTTAAAGTCATTTCCAGATGCTGAGAAGCAGAATTGTCTAAGGAAATTGGATCCTCAAGTAAGAGATGGATTATTAAAGGTTGGCGGTAGATTAGATAGAGGTTTGATTGATGAAGAAGCATTTTATTATGGCATGAAACTAAGAAAGACAATTATGTTATTGTAAGAGTTACATAGACTGCAAGTTTGGGTCTAATTGTAATTATAGTCAAGATTATAGTAGGAGCATACATCTAGTCAAAGTCATCCTAGTCAATCATATGCCAGCAATCAGGCGTTACCCACCCCACCAGTCATAAGACAAGTTATTGATAAAGTTAAAGTTTAATTAAGAATTTTATTATTGTTTTTTTAGTCAATCATCATATCACATCATCATCTGTATCATCAGTTCTTAGATATGTTATTCCTATTATTATTATCTACCATAGACCAATAACTACTACTGACCACTGTATTGTACTGTGATTATTATAACTGTTAATAAACCTCATTCAACATTGATGTATTGACAAAGCCAAAATCTGTGTAAAAGTACACAACATAGTCCCAGAGGCTATATTATTGACATATTGCCGACACAACCAAGTTCATGGTGGACATTAGTAAAAATAGAGGTAAAGGCAAAGACGAAGATAAAGGCAAAGAAAAAGAAAAAAACAAAGAAAAAGATAAAAGCTCAGAATTTGCAAGAAATACTGAAGAAATTACCAAACTATAATCTCAAGCAGAAGTTTTGCTACACAAGTCCAAAGTGAAAGTAAAGAAAAGAAACCTGTTGAATGTCTGTTCTGTAAGAAAAGTCATACACTCTTAGAGTGTGAAATCTTTGCTGGAAAACCTTATGATGAAAGAAATGAATTTGTAAGAAAAGAAAAGCTATGCTATGGTTGTTTGC